TGTTGGTTTAAAGTATCAAAAGAACTTGTTTATTCAAGAATATATCAAGAGTATATATACAGTTGGAGTCCTACCACATAAGGTAAGTGAATCACAATCTTGGATTTTATACAGAGAATGAATGTGAGCTTTAACTGAATATAAATCTGCTATAATACAGATTTGGTTTCCTTAACATGGCAGGCTCTGGCAAGACAATGCTTGTGAAGGCAACTTACAATAGTTTTGCAATTAAGCAGCATTTTGAGTGCCGAGCTTTTGTTTCTGTTTCTGAACAATTTGAGGAGAGAAAACTCTTGGCAGACTTATCAATACAGCTGGGAATGGTGCGGAGGGATGAGAGGTTGTCCAAAGTGGAATTGCAAAAAAGACTTGGACTCTTCTTGGCTTGGAAGAGATACCTAATAGTTTTAGATGATGTCTATACAGCTGATGTTTGGGAAGAACTCAAACATGCCTTTCCGAATTCGTCAAATGGGAGTAGGGTGATACTCACTACTCGTGATGCTTGTGTGCCACGCAATATTAAAGCACATGCCAGAGTTATCCAACTACGTTTTCTAAACGATGATGAAAGCTGGGAATTGTTTGTGGATAAGGTACCAACAGTTAGAGAAAAAGCAGAATTGATGAAAGCTCTCAAAGAAAATATTTTGTGAAGATGTGGTGGCCTGCCTCTTGATATAGTTTTACTAGGAGGTTTGCTTTCTACCAAGGAACTAAACGTCTCGGTATGGTCTGAACTCATTGAGCAATCATATACCAAGCCGGAAGAGAAGGATGGTAAGGGGGAGATTGAAGAAATAAGTCCCAGTGAAGCTGGTTCCTCTGATGAAGCCTTATCAGGTATCTTGGCTTTAGGTTATCAGGACCTAGATTCTCATTTGAAATTCTGCCTTAATTATTTAGGTCTCTTTCCCAAATCATACAAGGTTCCTTTTAGGAGGTTGTTTCAACTGTTGCAAGCAGAGGGATTGTTGAAACAAGAAACAAAGGAAGAGCAGGTGAAGAAATACATTGAAGACTTAAAAAAAAGGAACATGATTGAGGTAGAAAAACAGAAGTTAAATGGAAGCTCCAAAACCATTTGTATGCAAAGTACTATATATGATGCATTGATTCCACGAGCAAAGAGAGTTGGATTGTTTTACATTGGCATAAAACATTACCAAAGAACCTCCAAACAACCCATTCGAAGATTTGCTGAACATCAGGAGATCAATGATGAGAAGCTTCTAGAGCACTGCAGCTATAAGCTACGTTCTTATATTTCTTTCAAAACGGGAGGAGGTGATCCACCTCCATTTGGAGTAGCTAAACTTCTTCCGGACAATGTTAAGAGAGGTTTTGGATTACTTGTCATACTTGATTTAGAAGGAGTCTACAAACCACTGCTATCTAAACATCTAGACAAATTTCCAAACCTCAAGTATTTGGGTTTAAGATGGACTTTCTTGGATTCAATTCCTGATTCAGTTGGTGACTTGCCTAGCCTTGAGACTTTTGATGTGAAGCATACTAATATCAGCACTTTACCTGGTGAGTTCTGGAAGGCAAAATATCTTAAACATCTTTACATGAACAATATTTGTGTTGATACATCTACTCTAAAGGCGAGTCAGACAAATGGTTCATTAGCCAATCTTCAGATTTTATCGGGTCTGGTGATCCGCAATAAGAATTCTGTAGATTATTTGAAGGAGGTGAATGGTCTTAGAAAACTGGGAGTAACATGCTATGGAGAATCAATTGGAGAGATGGTTGGGTGGATTTCTATGTTAACCCAACTTCAATCATTGAAGTTAAGGTCAATAGATTCTTCATTGAATTTAGAGAACCTAGGCGATCATGGTGAGCCATCACAGTTGTATTTGTTTGGAAAACTTCCGAAGGAATTTGATTTTGGCAAATTTACCCCAAACTTAGAGATCCTTACTTTGGCGATGTCAGAACTGTCGGACGACCCAATGGAAAAACTAGGACAGCTGAAGAGCCTGAAGATCCTTAGGCTGTACGCCCGTTCCTACACGGGGAGAATATTGACATGTCATTCTGACACTTTCCTCGAGCTCCAAGTCTTAAACTTGTGGAAGCTAGAGAAGCTAGAGGAATGGAAAGTGGAGAAGGGAGCCATGCCCGCCTTAGAAGAAGTTGAGATCAGATGCTGTAAGAATCTCAGTAAAACTGATGGATTGAAGGAGTTGACCACTTTGAAGGAATTGCTTGTGACAAGTATGGAGCAAAACTTTGTGAAGGAGCTTGAAAGCCTTGGCAGCAATGTGTTAATCGTCAAAGAAAACGACTGGAAGTTTTCTTCCTGGGTGACTTCTTCCTAGGTGAGTTCCTCTCACATAGTCAACCTTTGGACTTTTTTTTTTTTTTAAATTTAATTTTTCATTCAAATTAAAGTAAGAAATAAAAAATGACATGAATTGAGAATGTTATTGTTCATGATAGACTAAACTAAAAACATTTTGAATGGAGAGATAGGTATTTGGAGAGTTTCCCTCTTATTGGGTTAAGTATAAAAAAAATTTGTTCAGAGAGGGAAAAGAAAAAAAAGAAAAATACTATTAAGGGATCTTAATGCATTTCTAATTCATTAAATGTATTTTTGTGTTTTCTAATTCAAACTGATGTTTGAAGTGCAAGGACAACTGTAACAAAACATTTGTTCATATTGATTACTGGTATATTTTCTTTTGCTTGAGATGCTGTAATAGAAAAAGAGATGGTTCTGCAAAATTAATAATAGTCATTTCTTTTAATTTTCTTTATTTTTACGTTAGGAATTGAGATGACTGGAATCAACAGCATCGTTTAAATGGAATCAACAGCATAGCATCTACAAGTGGAAATCAAGTTCGTGGAGTGATCTCTGGGTTTCTGTAGGGATCAGTATCATCATAATGACTTTACGCTGTTGTCAAAGCAGGGATCTTGCCATGTAATATTGGTCTAATTTCTTTCTCTATTTATCTAGTGTGATATCTATTTGGCTCAAAAAAACCTTGTGGACTAAATTTATTAGCACATGCTTTTCATTGCTCAGTTGTATTTCTTGTAATGTGCTAGAACAATTTTAGTTAGAATCATTACTCTTTGTGGTATGGCAAAGCTTCTACCTGCTGATCCATATACATTAACAGTAGAGCTTGTAGAACCATAATTTCAATCCTTTTCTAATTTCCTTATATAGATATGATGATGGACATATATCATCAATCATCAATCTTTATTATTAATAGCGCTTCCAAAGTAGTCTTAAATGGGCCTGGCTAGCCCAAAACTGCAACCATTGAAGACGTTTTATGTTTGCTTTTCTTCGACTTTTGTGCTTCTGCTGTTACTCCATCGAAAAATGCAAGAAACTACCCTTAATCAATATCAATCGTCGACTGCTCCATATGTGCTTCTGCTGTTTTCAATTCGAAATTACAAGAAACTACCCCTTTAACTTCTAGCAGTTTATGTGGGTGGTGATTTAGAGCTCGGATGCAAGGAAGCTTGGAAGCGCGGACAGACTCTACGATAAAGAATACATCATACAATTTTCAAATCCTTTGCATTTTCCAATCCAGAAGGTAGAAATCAAATTGAAACTGGTAATAGTCAAATTGAAATCGAAAGTGGGTCTTTGAATTTGATATATGGGTTTCGAATTTTGATTGCTGATCTCTGTTTTTCATGGTGACCCATTCCACTTCCTTTGTCCGCTCTCTTCACCACCATAAACCACCCGATCACCATCAACCCTAAACTTCAGATCATGGAGAAGGAAAGCCAAAGTTCAAAAAGCATGAGGAAGAGAACCAAGGGAATCAGGGAGGAGATTGAAAGACAAAAAACAATAGGCCATTAAAGAGCAACCAGCGACTAGACCTGAAGCCATTGGGTGTGAGGTTAGAGTAGAGATCAGGAGGATGAGAAGACTACTTCCTCTCCGCCATATATTTATGAAGGATGAGATTGGTTCTTACCCCTTGAACTGTAGGATTAGAAGTTTGCAACATATGCTTGCACGGGTATGCACATATTAGTCCTCTTAATTTCTTTTTATTTCCCCTTTCATTGAAAATACTAATTAAAGGTCTGTTCATGGCTTCTGTCTGACCAAAATTGAAATCTTTAGCTTCCTAAGATGCTTATGAGAAGAGTCCCATGTACATGCCCAAAAAAGCCTATAGCAAGTGTAGTAAATTAAGCGACTTTAACATGTTTCCTTCAATTTTAGATATATTTGATGGTGGATGATGATTTTTTAGTTGGTTTGTCTTGGGTGTTATGGTTATTTGGATTTTGGAAGCTAGAGTAAAAAACACTTATAATTTGGAGTGTAAGAAAAATTTAAAGTCAACGAAAGAACCAACATTTTGTATCTAAAATGGATTACAGAAATATTGTGGCAGTGTTATATGTATCTTAGATTGATGGTTCTATTTTATTTTTTTTTAATTTCTTATTACATATACATTTTTTTGACAGTGAATGCAACTAGGATTCATAGAATTTAAAGCCTATAAGTTTATTTTTTTATTTAATTCAAAAATTAATTTTGTAGATACATGAATCTGAAAGGATTACTTCCATTATTCCGTAGTTTAAAATACAAAGGTTAAAATGCAAAGTTTAACTTAGAGGATTATCCAAATGATGAATAATGAAAATCTGTTTCCCATAGAAGGTGGCCCCATCATCCTCTCTCAGGTAAGGGATTCTTGGTATTTGGAATTTTTAGAGTTGTAATGGGATCCATTCGGCTAACCTTTTAGTCATAACTTTGATTTTCTAAAGTAGAAGATCTCAAAGGATGAATTAGAGACCAATAACCATAGATGCTTTTCTCATTTCTATAGTTTGAGAATGAGTATGGGCCAGAAAGTACATCACGTTCTGGTCATGCATACTTTATTTGGGCAACAATAATAGCTATGGAATTGGGTACTGGAGTCTCATGGGTGATGCGTAGGGAAGATGATGTTGTAGGCCCTGCAGTGAGCTATCTTTCTTATTCATTCTTCTTGATAGAGTTGTCTTCATTTATCATTTACTTTAAACTAAATTATCTTTTGCGTTCGTTGAATTTTGATGTTGCCTCAAGCAAAGATGAAGTGGTTAAGCTGAAGGATTAATCAGCAACATGCTATGAGTGTAAGAGATGATGCTTTTGAGTTTCTCATTTAAAATACTTGTAAGAAGTCTACCTAAGCTTTTAAAAGATAGGGGGATGCCCATAGCTTAGCATGTCTGCATTTTTTATTATGTCCATTGGCTTACTTGATTTGAACATTTCATGAAGCAGTAGTTTAGCCTTTACTCTATCCACTTACCTCCAGGAAGTTTATAATAAAATATGTTGTGTTTTAGAAGCACCAAATATATGAGAATGCCCTGCATATGTTAACAAAAATGTAATTGACTACAAATTATATCTAGAGATCCAACACAGATTTTTAATTGGATTTAATTCCAACAATGCACATGTGAAGCATTGTATATAAGTTTAATAAATAAATTGATATAACATAAGGCATAATTATATAGGGTGTATAGACAATGTTAATTTGTTGTTAAAATGACTAATAGAAAAAAAAAGGGATAGATATTAGATGCTGATAGTGATTGACAAGAAACAGTGGTTGACAAGAAGAAGAGGGGAAGAGATGTAGAGAATGGGAGAGGAAAGACATCTTACTTAAAAGGTAATTATGAAATTGTATTATTAACCCTTAGTTTCTATGTAAAGTATAACATCAAAATTTTTTATTGCCAATAAGGAGGTTCAAGAGTGTATCAACCAAAGTAGTTAGGACTTTTAAGATGACCTAAATAGATCCCAATGAGGACAAGAGGTAACAATTTCATTATTAATGTATTGGTACTATTTCTACCAAAATGTCACTGCTATATTAGGTGATCTCCATCTATATAAATCATATAGATCTGTGGTTGAAAAAGACTGTCATAAATGTCCCTATTTTTTTCTATATATTAATCTTTCTAAGTCATTTTATGAGGATATCCTTTTAAGTTCAATCCTAGGTAAATATATTAATGCACTAAATAAAGGAACACTAGAAAAAGAAAATTCAAAAATCTAGGAAATAGCTTGATGAAAGGGAAGCTTTTTTTTTTTTCTTTTCTTTTAATCCTTAGTTCTTTTCACCAATACAATTTTCGTCTTGGTTTCAAAGATGTTAAATGCTCATGCAAAATGTAAATTGTGAAAGAAAGGACAATTTCATTTAGAAAACAATTATTTTCTATACGTTGGAGAGGCTTTGTATAGCGAAATCACTCTTTTATATCATCAAGCATGCTTTAGGTATGTTTGTCTCTATTTTCTCATTTAATTAATATTTAATGTCAAGTTTCTGAATTTTTTTTCTTAATTTAGTAACAAATTCTATTTACAAGTTCTACAACAATTTTAAGTTTAATCAATACATTTTCTGTGTTGCTATTTACATTCTAAATTAAAATGAAAGTTATTTCTATTGTTAATTAATACACATTTAATTCATATAAGAATAGGAAAATAGTAAAAAATATTAAAAACGATAGGTTGAGAAGATAATTTCTCACTTATATTCATGGGGATTGATGCATAAATCAAATACATTGGATTTAATTGAAATTATTTCAGGATTGATTCTATTATTTAGCATAAGGCCTGAATGCAGTTTATAATTTCAACACTTTTCTATCAACTTTTCATATGAGAAAATTTTGAAAGATTAAGGGTCTGAGAAAAAACATGTTATGTTTTAAAGATATGAATTTCTACCCTTTTTTTTTTCAATTAGCAAATCAATCAATACCTATTACAGGAATGCTTTGCCTTAATACTTAGTAATATGTATCAACTAAATAATAAAGAATTAGTAAAGAAGTAATAGAGACTAGGGACCGTATAAGAGGCCTTACAAAATATTTTTGCTCTTTAGAACATTCGGTTCTTTGCGACATTTGCTTTTAGGATTTACTTAAGAATGACAAGTCAGTTTCAAAAAATAGAAATTCTAGAGACAATGGACGGCTGGAGTGGATCAAAGAAAGTGAAAAAAAGAAAGGTATGTCTAAAATTGGAACTGAATATTGTTCGATCCTTTATTTCACAAAATTTTGTAAAAATTATTGGATTTACTTGACTAGCAAGGAAAATTGAAGCCATATGAGGCCATCATAATTACAACAAACAATTGTGAGGTTCATTCTTGGAGGAATAGGGCTCCTCTTCAACAAAGGAGGAAAACAAGGTTGTCCATGTGCTGACAAGGTTGAGAAAGTAAGGGAATTCTGAGCAGCGATGGACAGTGGAATACTTACCATGTTTATATCTTTGATGGGATCTACATTTGAATGTTTAACAATTTAGCATCCTATTTATACTTGAAACAAGTTGCCTAATTGAATCATTAATACCCAAGCATAGCGGGGTGAGAATCCCTTGTTTAGTTAGTGTATAAAGTACCAACAAGTTCAAGAGTATTGGTACGTACTCACAAATTAAAAATTTTGAAAGTAATATAATTACAATATTCTGTGAATTGTGAGTTTATAATTATAATATGTTATTATGGGTTAACCTTTTTTGTTAAGGAATTCACTCGTTGTATGCAATCACTTATTTAAAGACATGTTATGATAAGTGTATAATTTTACCTTGCATTATAATTATAACATTGGTAATTTGATTGATAGCTTGTTTGATTCGATGGGGGTGGAGGGAAGGAGCTTCCTTTTATTTTATTTTTTTAAAATAATTTTAGCATAACCAAATGAGGGAAGGGAAGGGAAATGCAAATATTTCCGTCCGCTCTCGTCCCCCTCCCTTTCTTTCCCCTTTTTTTTTTTTTTGTCAAACCAAACAAGAGGTTGGTATAAAGATTAGATGTTCAAACTCTTACAATGGTAAGCAAGTAATTCTCTATGTACCAAACAAGAATGTTAGTCTATAGAGTAATAAAAACAATAATAATAATAATCAGTATTACTTACTAAATTTTGTTGTCATTAAGACTTAAAGACCAAAAGAATGGCAAAAAGAGACTAAAATATTTGTATATTATGAATCAAATTTACTTTGGCGTGGATGTTTTCACATTCCACTTTATGCATATGACCATTGCCTTAGTTATTCCTTAGATAATGCTTTGAATTAAGTGGTTTTCTGTTCTCTGATATTTGTTTCCTTTCTTGCCATATCTGTTTCCTTCCTTTTCTATTTTCTGATATTTGTTTCCTTTGATTCATCCTTCATACTCCCCTTCAAACTAGAGTGGGGTGAGGCAACCAACCCTAGTTTGAACATTAACTTCTGGAATGGTGCACGAGGAAGAGGTTTAGTTAAAATGACTGTGAGCTAATCACCACTTGGGATATATAACTAGTGACTAATGTGCCTAGTGCTACTTTCTCACGAAAAAAAATGATAATCCAACTCTATGTGCTTTGTTCGAGCATGAAACATGGGATTAATAGTCATATGTAAATAACTGATGTTATTTGAGAAAATTTGCATTGGATGAGGCAGGGAAATACCAATGTCACATAACAAATAAGTAATCCAAACAATTTTTGCTGTTGTAGATGCTAGAGCTTGATATTCAGCTTTAGCAGTTGAGCGAGCTATTGTTGGTTGTTTCTTGGAGGACTAAGAGATGCAGTTTGCTCCAGGAAAGACACAGTACCTTGTGGTGCTTCTTCTTGTAATTAGGTAGCCTGCCCAGTCTGCATTACAAAATCCTGTTAAAGATAATGTATTGTGAGAGGAAAACCGTAAGTCGTGGTGCATGGTTCCCTTTATATATCGCAAGATACACTTGACTTGTGGAAGGTATGCAAAGGTAGGTTGCTGCATAAATTGGCAAACCTTATTTACAGCATGACAAAGATCAATTCTTGTGATTGTGAGGTATTGGAGTGCACCCACTAGTTTTCTGTATTCTTGAGCATCTACCAATTCATCATCACCCAAAGTGCATGTATCTTTAACTGCCATTGGTGTAGCAATTGTTGATGCTTCAAGCATGGAGGCTCGAGTAAGTACATCTTTCGCATATTTAGCCTGTGACAAAAATATACCTCCTGAAAATCAGGTAACCTCTGTCATAACCCGATTTTTCATTCAGCTTATTTAAGCTTTTCATATAAAAAGAAAAAAGAAAAAATATATATATTAATCACAAAAATTAATTAAAAAAATCAAAAAAATAAAAAATTATGAAAATATGACAATCTCTCTTTTCTTTAACTAATACATCTTCATTTTTCTTTCAGGTGCAAAAAAGGGAAATTCAAGAAGGAAATGGGAAAGGAAACTCGAGAAAGGACTCAATTGAAGAAATCAAAAGGTGGAGGGGTGAAGTTCATCAAAACCCAAAACCAAGCTCAAATCCAATTGCCCAAAAACCCAAAGCCCACTACCCAAAACCCACTTTAAAAAAAAAGAAAAAGAAAAAAGAGGACGGTTTGGAATCTTCTTCAAAAGCCAACCCTAGCCTTCTCTCTCTTTTAAAGCTGGAAACATGCCAAGAAGAAGGAAGAGGGCTGCAGAACAGAAAACAAAAAAAGGGAAAGATTTCCTGCACCAGCCTCGTGCCCCTGCAGCAACCTCGCGCCCTGCACCGGCCTTGCGTCACGTCCCCTGCTGGTTGCAATCCTCTGCACCAGCCCAGCCCGCGCCTGCTCAAGAAACAAACAAAAAAAAAGAAGGGCTTTTGTCCTTTGCTTTTCCCTGCAGAAATCAGCAGCTGGGGGTTCAAAATTTTGGCGAATCAATGTTAAAAAAAAAAAAAGAAAGGGGTAGGATTGGAATGCTAGAAAAAGGAGGATCTCTGCCCGGGTATAAATAGAGAGTTTTAGGTTAGGAGTGGGGGTTCTCTTGGTGGTTCTTTTTGGTCTGAGTTTGGGATTGCCAGAGGTGATAACAAGAGAAAGGAGAAAACCGAGCTGATTCCGGCAAGATTCCAGCAAGATTCCGGCAATATTTCAGCCTCCTTTTGCTAGGTAATTCCTGAACAGAGGAGCCTTCTAGGAATGATGGTGAAGGAGACGATAGGAGCCTGGTCCCGTGGGTGGGATCCCTCCCATCTGATCTGGATCCATCTTACCCAAAAGGCTCTGCCGTGGATGTTTTCTTATTTTGGTTGATGTTTTTGCATCTTTTTGTTTAATGTTCAAGCTTGTACATGTTCCGTTTGAAAATCAATGAAAATCAAAATAAAAAAAAATTGTTCAGTTTATTTTCTGATGAATGTGTTGCTGTTACTGGAAATTACATGAATTCTAGTTTTCCCGCTTTGGTTGCATGTTTGATCTTTCTTTTTATTTATTTTTGTGCTTGCATCGTGTTTTTGGGTCGGGTTAGTCCGATTTAATCCAACGAAAAAAAAAAATACTCTAAAGGTTAAAAAGTAAAAAAAATCATCAGTTGTTTTTTTTTTTTTTTTTTTTTTGCATCCTTTTTTGTTGTTGCAGTTTTTTCGTCCAGTTTTTTCTCCTTTTTTTTCATTCGTTTTTTTTTTTTTCTTTTTTCTCATCTGTGTCTTTTTTTTTTTTTTTTGTTTTTTTTGTGTATATGTGTTTTTTTTTTTGTCTTTTTTTGTCCAAAATTTAAAAATTTTTTCATTTTGTTTTTTCTTTTTTTAGTTTTCCTTTTTAGGCTTTAACCTTAAGGTTATTAATTAGTTTGATTTAAACCCCTCATTTTTAAGTTTTGCACCGTTTTTTAACGGGGGGTTTTTGGGTTGTGCTTTTGCCTTTTTTCCTTCTTACCGGACCCCTGGACTCCGGTTTTTTGCGCGGCTCGTTTTTGGTTGCTTTTTCCCCCTTTTTATTTTGGCGGGTTGGGGCTTCCCTTTTCTTTTATATTTTTGACGCTTCTTGCCTTTTCATTTGTTTTTTGGGCAAATTTTGAGTTTTCGTTTTCACGCTCATTGTTTCAATATTCGTTTCCGGATCCATGTTCCTTGCGAGCGCATTGGTTTTTTTTTTTTTTGGTTTTGTCCTTTTAGATTTTTTGATGATTTTCATCCCTAGTTTGGGTGTTGTGTGTGTTGCATTTTTGGCTTTTTATTCTTTTTTTCTTTTTCTTTGAGTTTATGATGACGTTAGGCGTTTTTCACATTTCTTTTTCTGGGTTGTTAGGTTTTTTTTGTTTCCATTGTGATTTGCGTGCTAAGTGTATTTGGTTTGCTTACCTGGCTGGGGGTCTCATTTGAGTCCTTTGCTGGTGTTTGATTGAATTGCTTTGCTGCTCGTTGTGTTTTGGATCTGTTGTTTCTTTTTTCTGAATGAAGTTTTTTTTTTTTGTTGTGTTTGCACGGTACAGTTTTTTTTTGTGTTTGTGGTGTTGGCACTCTTTTCTCTTTTTTGTTTTTTTGCATGGCTTTCATTTTTTTTTTCATCTTGCCTTTTTTTTTAATCTTTTCTTCTTTTTTTATCTTTTTGTTTTCTTTCTTTTTGTTGTTTTCATTGTTTAAGGAAGAATTGTTAAGTAATCATAAAGTTAGTATATTTTGGAAATTTGGTTTGGACATGTCCTGTGTGCAATCCTGACTTAGTTCTAGTCACCATAGGGTGAGTGGATGTGGAAGTGTCGTTATGAGATGGTGATGGCGCCCCTTCTTGGCCTAAATTCTTTGTTCCTTGTACTGATTGAGGTTGACAATTTTCAATTGGAATTTCATGTAATAAATGAGAACCAATTTCCCCAGTTTCTGTAATATTAGTTGCAACTTGATTTGGTCTAGGTCCTTCTTGGATATTCATTGGTTCTAGTGTATTTTCTTGATTAGGTCCAAGTCCCTCTTCAGCGTTTATTGTTGTTGTAGTATTTGGTTCATCATTATCTTTTGGACTTGTACCCAAAACAGTCAAGCATTGAGTAGAGATAGGTGCTATGTTTGGTTCATCCAATTTTCTTGAAGGTTGAAAGCTAGATGGAGTGTGTCCGTTCATCATAATTTGGATAAGTACAAAGCTCCCCATCTGCATAGGTATAGCTTGAAAGTTTTGTAAGATTAGTGTATGGGAGAAAATATTCATTGAAGACAACATGCCTTCATATATATATATTCTTTGAGTAGGAGGATGTAAACACTTATATCCTTTATGAATTGGTAAAATATCCAAATCCACTCCCAAAGTATAACAGCAAGGATGGATCCACTTCTGAACAAAAAATAGGGACAAATCCACCTACAAATTTTTCGACTTGGACAAATAACCCTTTATTTGATGAGCCACGTTAGCTGATGTCATCTTTTCGTTAATCAGGTGCTTATTGAGACATTTTAAACACCATGGGGTTTTTTGGCCTGCATGGATACTGACTTGGGCCATTCCCACCCATTTTAATCTTATGTGGCGATTTTTGTCCTTTTTCCATTACACATCAACTAGGCCTACCTAAAAATATATAATCCCTAAAATAATCAGATCAAATTGCAGCGTTGACTAGCTCAACAATGATGGCAAACAATGCAGCGTTTAGTTGGATGGTGGTGGCACTACTCATCACCACTGTGGCCGTCACAATTGAATATACCAACCACACCATTGGTGGCGATGCCGGCTGGTTTTTTGACTTCACCACCAACACCTTTGCTACCAATTACACTTCTTGGGCCACAAATCAACCATTCAATCTTGGAGACTCTCTCAGCAAGGCTTAACACTTTTCCATGATCACATCTCTCTTCTTCTTCTTCTTCTTCTTCTTCTTCTTTTTTATTTTTTTTTTATTTTTATTTTTTTAATTCTAGAGTGTTCGATTGGTTTTGACAGTGAATTTGGATCAAATCCTTGCTTGTGTAATGAATTTATTCTTGTTTGGAACGGCAATTCAAAACAAATAATTAATTTCTCTTTTTTTTTTTCTAATTTTTTTTGTATTTTCTCGTGATCCAAACAGTATTTAGGACCAACACAAACCAAACTGTGATCCAGACTTTCAACAAGACTACTTTTCAAAGCTTCTCAATGGATGACACATCGGACGATGATACATTCTAGTACAATGGAGGCAGCGTAGCATTCGGTGAATTGCAAACTATCGCGGTGCCATTGACCGAAGAAGGCTCCAACTACTTCTCGGATGCAAATGATGGCATCTAGTGCCAAAATGGCGTAGCATTTGGGAACTTCATCAATCACAGCCTCGAATTACCTCCTAGCCTTAACCAGCTGCCTCTTCTTGCTCACATTGAACTGCCTGGACTCGATGCCCAATTGACGCCGATTACAATTGAAGGTAGTTCGCTGTCGCTGCAAAATGGCGTGCTAACCTTAAATATACTCAAATGGTTGTTTGTCATCGAGAATTGGAGGAAGATGCCATGGAATCAGCTTCCCCTAACCCAGATTTGGGGGATAAAAGGGAACCTAACCCATGATTTTAGGAGAAGAGGGAAGGGGGAAGACACAAATAAAATTTGGGATTTTTTTAGGGATTATATATTTTTAAGTGGGGCACAATTTATGTGTAATGGAAAAGGGCCACAGAGGATTAAAATGGGTGGGAATGGCCTAGGTTAGTATCCACGCAAACCAAAAAACCCCATGGTGTTTAAAATGTCTTAGTTAGCACCTGATTAATGAAAAGATGACGTCAGCTAACGTGGTCTGTCAAATAATGGATTATTTGTCCAAATTGAAAACTTTGTAATTGGATTTGTCCCATTTTTTTGTTCATGGGTGGATCCGTCTCTATTGCTATACTTTGGGGTTGGATTTGGGTACTTTGCCTTATGAATTGAACTATAGTCAATAAATACACAAGGTGATGACCTAGGTTGGAGTTTATTTGCAGCATAATCTCTCAAATAAGGAAAATAGCGACATCCAAACACTTTAATCATAGAATAGTCAGGAGCTTTGCCATAAAGTAAATAATATGGAGTCTTATTTTGTAATATAGGAGTAGGCATTTTATTAATAAGCAAGATGACAGTAGAAAAGCTATCAACCCAGTAGCGTGATGCCATGTTAGAATGGAGTAACATAGTCAAACCTATCTCAACAATGTGTCTATGCTTCCTTTCAGCAACTACATTCTATTTTGGAGTACCAGGGTAAGACACTTGTTGCTTAATGCCACATTCTGCTAGGTGATTAGTGAAAACCATGCTAGAGAATTTGCCACCACTATCACATTGAAAAATCTTTGATTTTTTAGTTAAAATGATTTTCTATCATTTTTTGAAATTTCAAGAAAACACCAAGGAAGTCAAATTTCTTAAACATTGGATAGAACCATGTGTACCTGCTAAAATCATCCACAAAAATCACATAATAACTAAAGTGGTTAGGTGATTGAACTAGAGAAGGTCCCCACAAGTCACAGTGTATTTTTTGAAGAGGAAAATCTGTTCTTTCATTATTTCTAGAGAAAGGAAGCTTACAACTCTTCCCCATTTGGCAAGTAGTGCACAAAAGATGAGGTTTAGTCTAATAAGATGCAAAAATATTATTCTTTGAAGCTAGAGTTTTAAGAATGCTAGAATTTGGGTGTCCTAACCTCTGATGCCAAATGGAATCTATAGCTTTATTTGAAATTGCAGATAAAGCAAGCTTTTCTCCTTCATCTAATGCATACAATTGGCCTTTCCTAGTTCCTCTTACCAAAATTGCTTGTATTTCCTAGTCCTTAATCACAAAACCATCAGATGAGAATTCAAAAACACATGAATTTTCATCAATAAATTTACTAATAGAGAGGAGATTTTTCTTAAGTTTTAAAGAACCAATAGTAGTAGATCTAGGGGTGGTAATTTGCTCTGATCCCCGCGGGGCCTTATGGGAATCCCCGCCACGGGGACAGGGCTAGGACAGGGGGCATTTTCCCCTTGCAAAATTTTGCAAGGATCCCCATCCTTGTGAAAAATTAAAAAAATATGTAAATTAATTTTATTTTAAATTTAATTTAATCTTCAAACTCAAACCCAATTCAATAAAAATTAAACTTAACCTAATTTTACCCAACCCATCATTAACCTTTTAGCTAGTTATGTTAGATTGATTTTTATTTATATTTGGATAATTTATATTTGATTTTATATTTAAAGAATTTTAGTTAATTGTACTTGAATTTTTAGTATTTTATTCATTACAATTAAATATTAATTAATTATATGTAAAAAATTTATATGTTAAAAATTTATATGTTAATATTAATTGACGGGGAATGGGGATCTCCATGGGGAATAAGGATGTGGGACAAAATCTATCCCTCATTAAAAATCCCTGCAGGGATCTTCGTCCTCCCCATTCTCGGGGATGGGGACAGGGAGGGACTCCCCAGCCTCTCAGGGCCCCGTTGACATCCTTAAGTAGATCCTATATGAGAAATTTGCTAAGGAGTGCTATCACCTGTACAAATTTTGTTTTCCGTAATAAGGCCTCTTAGTATAGAATTTACCTGAATCTGAGATCATATGGTCACTAGCCCCATTGTCAACATAGATATTCTAGTCTTTATCTTCCATTAGGCTCAAGGTTGCAAGGGCTTGAGGCAACTTTTCACTTTGATATGCATGATCAAATCTATACCATCATTTCAAAGTTGTGTGTCCTGCAATGCCACAAATTTGACAGAGTACTTACCTTGTATTACATTCTTCTCTTGAAATTTTGGTGACGTAGGTTGCTATGGTGGAGGATTATTGTTAACCATTGAGCTTTTATTGTTGCTGTTATTGCCTGTCCAATTGTGATGGTAATTTCCAGCTTGAACAAAACCTTTGCCTCTAGAATTGAAGTTTCTGCCACCACCATAGCCTATGTGTCACGCCTCAAAACTGAGAGCGAAACAAAAATCGTACACTTGTTAGAGGGTCCCACAAATACACAAAACTCGGAACCTACTTTATTCACACTTGGCAATCCACTAAACTAAGATCCACAATCTTATAATAAAATCTAGCTTGATAACCAATAACCAATGTTTAACGAGGGCAAAAGCATACAAAAACTATACAACTCCATTAATAGGGTCATAACTATCTCAAGGGGATCTAGTCTACAAAAGAATGATCTATCTTTCATTATCTATGTCCAAAAATATATATGACTAGCGGCCTAACTTCACCATAATCTAAATCCAAAATACAAATGGCTAGGCTTCAAGCTCGTCACTCTCCTTAGCTTCTCTTGTCTTAGGTCTCACTACCTAAAATGGTGGATAAGGAAAAATCTATGTAAGATAACTCAATGAGTAAAAATATGGATAACCCTCACCGAAATTTTAAAGTATACCAAGTAAACATTTAAAATTTAAACTAGAAGAAAATCTCAGTTATGAATAATTTATGTATACTAAAATTTATTTAGTAATCCCCTTAACTAGTCATGGCCAGTGTACTCTTCCAACTGGTTGGATAACAGAAACACTAGTGTACTCTCTCATTGATTAGATGAACCAATCCTACAGAAATACATGTCGACATTTGCCAGCGTTTAACTCCCACTGGCAGGTTAACAGAATTCATGATCATGTTGGAGACAAAACCATGCAAGAGTCAACAGTAAAATTCAAAATTCACAAACCAATTTTAGATTCCCAGAATAAACAAGAAAACTTCATGTGGGCATATTCAACTCAATCAAAATCAATCATGCTCATGTGCTAATAAAAATTGAGTTAGATCCCGTCACCATCTCAAAAACATTTTAAAATATACTTTTAAAAACTCTACCTTAAAATGCAAAGGTGTTTACCATAATTTTTACTTTCCTCCCTTTATCACTATACAATAAGCAAGAATTCAATTCTCAAGGTGGTGGAGGTGATCTAGAACCTATGTCACATCAAAGTACAAACAAGATTACAACCTATCCCATTTAGCTAAATTGATTTCTAATTCCAATATTAAGTTTCTAACCAAATAAACAATTTTTTCCTACACATACTTACTATTTCTACCCATTGAAACCTTATTAACATATTAATTTGTTTAACCATACTTAGAGTATGCTTAAAACAGCTTTAAAAGTCACACAACAGCAGTTATTTTTAGGCAAAAACATCAAAATTTTTTGGGTAAAACAACAGGGATTTATGGCAAAAATAGCAGCAAAACAGTGCAAAAAAAAAGTCAAAACTAGGCAGTATTCAAGCAAAAATGCAGTAGTAAAAAGGCAGCTAAAATAAAGCAATAACAAGGGGTTTTAGAGCAGGAAAATAGCAGCTAAAAGTCTACTAAAACCATAATTTGATATGGCAGCAAATAATGTGGGAATTGAGCAGAAAACATGACAAATTTCAGGGAAAGTTCTGGTTAGATTTGAACTAAAATTTCAAATAGAATTCATGCCCAAAATTTGACCAATTTGGCCAGAATGATCAACAGATAAATTGTAACCCTATGTCTTAGTGTGCTATAGCCTTAAGAATCAACTTAATTTGACATCTATAGAGAGAGTTATGGCTAAAATACTAACATAAGGTCGGGCTGCCAATTCTGTCTGCCTAAAGGGACTGAACTTGCAGCACAGTTTTCACCTTGAAAACAGCTTAACTGAGTTAAATGTTCAACATAAAAATTGTATGTCTATCTCTTAACTTTTCATAGAATCAAGAATAAACTCAATCCAATATCTATAGAAAGAGTTATGAGTAAAACACTACTGTATGGTCGTGTTGTTAGGATTTCCAATGAAAAAAAAGATCAGCTACTAGTGATGCTAGATTTTGGACAAAATCAATGGGGAAACTTTAGAAAATTCCCAAAATTGAAAACCTTAAAGGATCAGAGTGAACCCAATTCAAATCAAAGATGAAAAGATGAGCAATAAGGCTGATTTTTTACCATGGACAACAAACCCAACACAACTCAGCAGATTGTAAGGTATCTAGATCTGGAATTTTGATCATTATTTTGGAACTATAAGCTCGTTGATCTCTAAACCTTGCTAAGAAAAGGAAGAAAAAGCTAATTTTTTACCTATTTTTCAATGTGAAGAGGTGTTGGTGCAACTGAGGGTTGGGGGTTGCAGGTCTTTGGGTGAGGGGCTGGAAAGGGCTGGAAAACACGCAGGAGTGAGGAGAGAAAGAAATCAGCCTAACCCATTTATCAACAAATTTTCTCTTTTAACCACCCCTTAAGTTTGGAAAGTTTGGAAATTTTAATTATTAAACTCATCAATAATAATTTCTCCCACATAAATCTTTTAACTTAGATTTTTATTTATTTATTGAAAATTTTGGGATATTACACTCTGCCATGTTGATGTCCTCTCCCCCTATGTGCAATAAAGGCTTGAGCATAAACTGGAATTTTATCCTTGTTTTCTTGTTCTGCATTCTGCAAGTCTCTTTCATTATGTTGTAAACCAGCAGTATATTGATTAAAAGTAGGATATGGAGTTTTGGATAGAACAGGATTATAAGGTTGGTATCTTGCTCCTACAACTCGTGAAAGTTGAAACACCTTGTCTAAGTCTTCTAAAGGCTTTTTAATGGTAGCCAAGTTATCACAAGTTCTTTTGAATTTTCTGATGAATTCTTCAAGAGATTCACCATCTCCTCGTTTGATTGCCAATTGTCCCTTGAGCTGCATTTCTTGCTCTTCTGTTGATGCTAGGTAATGATCCTCTAAGCATTTCCAGATTTGAAAAGTCGAGTCACATCCAACAACAAGACTTAATGCTTCTTCATTCATGGTTCCAAGTAGCCAACTTATAAGCAGCCCATCATTATTCAGCCAGACATCAAAATCTGGATTGGGCACTTCTCATTTTTGATCACTATCATTGTTGGCGCCTCTTCCTCCTCAAAGTGATGCATAATCTGAGCACTTCGAATTAATGGATAGACCTGTGATTTCCATAAAAGAAAGTTTGAGCTTGACAGCTTTACCGAAACCAAGCTTGCCATTTGGTGGAAGCTTTGGATGGTAAGCTTAGTCTTGTTTCTAGCCATTGGTCTGATTTTGTTGAATTTGATTTGTGCGATAAAGAAAGTTGTTTGTGAAGAAAGAACAAATTCAAGTATCTAGATGCAGATAACCTGCTCTGATACCATGAAGAATTCAAGAGAATTGCAGGGAACACTGTATTGTATTCAACTTAAGGTTTCTGTACAATGGAATTAGTATATATAATTTACAATACATATTCAGATCCTAAATACATGCCTAAACTTATGCATATGACCGTTGTCTTAGTTATTCCTTAGATAGTGCTTTGAATTGAGTGGTTTTCTGTTATCTGATATTTGTTTCCTTTCTTGCCATATCTGTTTCCTTCCTTTTCTGTTCTCTAATATTTGTTTCCTTTGATTCATCCTTCATAGAAACCAGAACTTGGTTGATTAAGCGTTGGAAGAAGACTAGCACTGCACAATCATCAAACAGTTGTTTTAAAAAACGGTTCAAGTGGTTTAAGGTGAAGAGGTGGTTAAAGTCCATGGCACAATACAGTCTATTACAGCTTAGCCTTGAGGAAAAACATAGCATTAGTTTAATTGAAGAATTTTGTTATAAAAAATACAAAAAGTTCTTTGAAGAGTACAGAAATCTGACCTTTAAACATGTCAAAGATAAGTTTGTTAAGTTTGATGAGTTGGAAACAAAAAGTAAAACAAGAGGTGAGAAGCACGAGCACACTTGATACAGCTATTAGGGAGTTATGCAGCCAAAGGGGTAAAGACATAATTAAGAAATATCAGAGCTGAAAAGTAAGGTTGTTCTTTGAATGGAGTATCCTTGAATGGAGTGGAAGTGTTGAATTTGACCAAAGCATCCTTATCTGGCACATTGCTACAGAAATCTGCTACCACTCTCGAGAAAACCTTTATGGTGAAGTCGAATCAAGTAGAGAATTTAGCCTGCACATTTCAAGGTACATGTATCTCTTAGTCATTTGTCCCTTCATGTTGCCTGTAAGGATTGGGTTAATCAGGTTTCGAGACACTCGTGCTGAGGCCATGGAATTTTTTGAGGATCGAATGCTTACCTGCAGAAGTGAAGGCACTGAACCTGCCCTCCATAAACTTTTGGGAAAAATAGGGTAAACTTCCATGTAGGTCCTCAATATTTCTAACATGAGATATTTTCAATCCTAACCTTCATTTTGCTTCACCCTTTGTCCCCTAGGTTTCTGGGAATAACCCTACTAGTCCTTCTGTTAAGTTTAGAAGTTAGGTGTGAACAACAGTCTTTCATGGCTGTTAATGTTTCCACAAAAGACTTTAATTTTTTGTTTTGAGTAGATATGTTATCACCCATTCACTTGTATAGGGAATTTAGTGTATTGGGATCGCTGTTCTCTTCATGGAAAATGTATAGTCACCAAAATTAATTTTCTTTTGATTGGTGGTTTATATAATGCAATTTAGGGGATTCTGATTTCTAAAGCAGTTTTAGCAAGAAAGAAACTTTTTTAATCATTTCCACTATTGGTGTAATATAACATAATATTTTGTGACGTTAAAGTTCGCATCCTAAATCTAATTTGTTGTCTTCGTTCCTGCCTACCAGTTCCAGTTCCAATGTTGAACAAAGAAGACGAAAGGCTTGTGAGTTGTTGCTTGCAGTGAGAACAGAAGTTCCACCCATAAAAGTCAAAGGCGATAAAAGCAAATCTGTGTTGTTTGATGCTTGGGGGCTGGCATCAACGCTGGCTATTATATCGGATTCAAATCCAGGGTTCAATGGAATCTAATAAGAGATATCTGGCTGGAGCTGCTAGCTTATGCCGCTTGTCATTGTAGTGGGAATGATCATGCTAGGCAGTTGGGAAAAGGCGGGAACTTCTGACCAAAGTTGTCATGTATCAGTTTTGTTACTAAAACTATACGTACCGAATGCCGAAATTTTTTGCGTATCATTTTAGATTTATAGCTATAAATTATATTTTTATAAATTATATTTTTATAAATTGAAAATAAGTTTAAAATACTCAATTTTATAAAATATATATAATTTTTTTTCTTTTTTTTTAACATTAAATATGTATATTTAGACAAGCTTAACTAAATAATTGATAAAAAAATTAAAAAAATAATTTTTCATAGTTAATGGACTAAAAAAATATATAAAAAAATTAAAGAACGAAACTTACATAAAACTTTAAAATTAAGGATCAAAAATAAACTTTACATTTTTGAATTTGAATTGCTTTTGTACCGACACATTTTTCGAATTTGAATTGACTTTGTACTGACACATTTTCCAATTGAGCAAAATCAGAGGCACTCGCCAATTGCACTCTCCAACCAACACTTCTATTTTCATTGGGCCACATTATTTTGGTTGAAAAGTGGATTTCATAGCCTTCAAGCAAACTTACATGGCCCAATAAAAAGGCATGTGTTGGTTGGAGAGAACAAGAGGTGAATGCCCCTAGCACTGCTCTTTCCAATTTGAATTGATTTTTTCTATCGACACATTTTCAATATACTGGTTCGTACACTGAAATTTGATTGAAATTGACGAAATTTGATTGAAATGAAATTGAATTTTGTATTGTTTTGGACTAATACAAAAACCAGTATGTACCGATCATATTGACTGATACGAAACGGTATTAATAACTTTGCTTCTCACTCATGTGTGGCTTCTTATGACTCATTTTGGACTCACTGAGCAGTTTCAGATATCTCAAGGCCATGCAAGAGCTAGTTTGCTTACCAAATAGTATAGAGATATGCATCCTCTTTTAATTTGGAAATGAGAGATCATGACTTAAGTACTAAAATTCAAGTGATATTAATTGTACTCTAAACTAATAAAAACTTTTCTTTGAAAACTTATTTGTCTGACTTGATACTTTTTTTTTTTGTACATCTGAATGGGTTATATAAGAGAGCATAACACTCTCTTTTCCCTAAATCCCTCCTGGTCAAATTCAAGGTTCCAATTTAAGATCTCGAGCTTGAGATTCCAAGTTGGATTCCTACATCTTGAAGGAGATTTCGAGGTAATAGAAAGACTACAAAACACTAATCTACCTGGTCGGTTGTAAGAATTGGGTACCCTGTTGGATTCCTGCATCTGTATGTAGCTGTAGGAGTGCAGGTTTTGAAGTAATGTATGATACGGTGGAGACCATAACATGAGGCAAAACACTAATCAATAAAGCAATAATCCAAATGATGCAAGTTAAGACCATTTTCGGTTGCATAACTTCGTTTAGACATAAGGTTATCTAAAATGCTAATGTTTAGCCCTCAGACTTTTAATTTGAATATTTGTAGTCCCTAAATTATCTTTTATACTTTTTTATTCTTGAAGTATGAAACGTGCACTTTTTAGTCTTTTTATCAATTAATTTGTTAAGTCTGTTTATATATACATATTTTTAATCCTTAAACTTATAAGTTCAAGTATTGAAATGTACATATATGGACAAACCTAATGATTAAATAAACTGCTAAACAAGTGCATATTTCACAATTTAATAACAAAAATAAATGTAAAAAATAGTTTGAAAACTGAAAATGTTCAAAATTAAAAGGTCAAAAAGTAAAAATGACATTTAACCTAACCAAAAAAAAAAAGAGGAAAAAAATGTAAAAAGACCCTACCATGCTAACAAAAGCCTTTCTTACTTAGACAAAAGATCAAACACTTAAAACTGCAATGATCGAAACAAAGGAATAAACCCTCATCAACATTTATAACTACCATTTTGGTCCCTCAACTTTTCATTTTGGCATTAAAATTGTCCCTCAACTTTAAAAAGTACTAAAATGATCCTTAAACTTTTATTTTCAATACCAAAATAGTCCTTCCGTTAATTAAGTGTATAGGTGGCACATTAAGATGCTACAAAATTACTACTTTTTTGAATTTTAATGACGTATAAATCCAACAAAGAAAATCTTGTCACATGGCATTTTTTCTATACGTAAGATTGTGACCACCTCAGTTTTCTTTTTAGGGCAGAACCCTCAAATCAGCCCCTGACAAATATGGGTAGGGACGGATCCACCCCTCAAAAAAAAGCAGGGACAAATGACACCCTCAAAGTATCGATTTGGTCAAATCGATCATTATCTAACGGGTGACGTCATCACCGTCACGATCTCCGTTACCTCGTGCCAGCGTGTCGTTTTTTCACGCGCTGGATGCTGATGTGTACGAATCTCACTCTTTTTCACACACCGTGTCACCCTTTATTCCTTTTTACTTGTCATGGACCCCATTTAGCCCTAAAAAAGAAAGAAGGAAAACCTCCATCTTCGCTCTGTTTTGCAGATATCTGCGCCCCAATTCTGCGGGACCAAATTGAAGTTGAAGAATCGGGCTTTCGTTTGAGAAAAACCCAGATCTAAGTTTGAGAGAAGAAGAAGGCCGACGGTAGTAGTAGCAAAAGGTTTGGCGTGAACAATGACGAGCTTAAACAAGGCACTATCACCTCGAGGAACGGAGAA